TGTTGTTTTTGAGATGAAGACTCGCTCCATCATCCAAGCTGGAGTGCAATGGCATGATGCCGGCTCACTGCAACCTCCGCTTCCCAGGTTCAAGTGATTCTCCCACCTCAGCCTCTCGAGTAGCTGGGATCACAGTTGCATGCCACCACGCTGGCTAATTTTTGTATTCTTAGTAAAGACAGGGATTCACCACGTTGGCCAGGCTGGTCTTAAACTCCTGACCTCAAGCGATCCACCAGCCTCGGCTTCCCAGAGTGCTGAGATTATAGGCATGAGCCACAATGCCCAGCTTTTTCTGTTTTTATATTCCTGTTTCTGTATCTTTGGTGCTTAGCATAGTAAACACTCTAGATGCTTTTGTTCAATTGAATTAAAATCATATAAACTGCAAGGATTTTAAACCCCTGTTTGGCTCCAAGGTCAATGATCTGTCTATACTAGCTAATTCCTAAACCAGCGTCATTTCTGATTATTCAAATTTAGTATAATCTATGTAAGTTTGTTCATTCATCCAACAAATACATAGTGAATATCTATTAAGTAGCAGGCACTGTGCGTAAGTAAAAGTTAGGTATACAAAAATGAAAAAATATATAGTCCTTGCCTTGTAAGAGCTCATATTCTAACAAACGGAGATAAGAAATACAAATAATTACAGTAGGAACTCTCTTATCCAACCTCCATCTAACCAACTTGCCAGATTAATCGACACTGACTCATGTCTACAGCATGCTGATCATGAAGCACCTCTGCTCCCATCAGTTAACTGTGTGTTCACAAACCTTATTCTCCTATCATAAATATATACTGTAATTAAATGTTAAACAAACCAGAACATAAGTGTAAAAAAGAGGGCAGGGCGTGGTGGCTCACCCAGCACTTTGGGAGGCCGAGGCGGGCAGATTATGAGGTCAGGAGATCAAGACCATCCTGGCTAACACGATGAAACCCCGTCTCTACTAAAAATACAAAAAATTAGCCGCGCGTGGTGGCGGGCGCCTGTAGTCCCAGCTACTCAAGAGGCTGAGGCAGGAGAATGGCATGAACCCGGGAGGCGGAGCTTGCAGTGAGCCGAGATGGTGCCACTGCACTCCAGCCTGGATGACATAGCCAGACTCCGTCTCAAAAAAAAAAAAAAAAAGGTAAAAAAGAAGGACAACTGATATTTCTATAACCAAATGCCTTGGAAAGATTTGATAAAAGTGAGTCTCTCTAAGAAAAATAAACTGCTATTGAACTAGGTATGGACAATACAACTGAAAAGATTGGTGGGGACAGGGGAGAGAAAAGATTCCAAGCTTTCTGCCTTTAGGTGGTGTGGTTCATTGAGTAAGACAGAGGTCTCTGGAGGAAGAAAAGGTTTGGGAAGAGAGATGGGTTTAATTTGGCCATATTGAGTTTGAATTTGAAATGCCTGTGGAATGTCCAAGTAAAGGGGTCCAGCAGGCATTTTGAGGTGTGTCTTGAACTCAAAAGGAAAGAGAAATCTGGGCTGGAAATACCGATTCTATATCAACATTACGTAGATGGTAACAGAACCCATTTCATCAATCAGAGAGAGAATGCAAAACTAGAATAGCAAGAGAAGACTGATATGGTGCAGTCAGAGGAAATTTTTCCAAATGTATGATGATCCTGACATATACTGAAAGATACTAAATCAAAGAAAAATTAACTTTCGTTCATAAAGAACACTAATATACTTACTAATATTTTTAAAACTCCAACAAGACTCTTAGTTAGTAACAAAACTGAACAAAGCAGGCCGGGCGCGGTGGCTCAAGCCTGTAATCCCAGCACTTTGGGAGGTCGAGACGGGCGGATCACAAGGTCAGGAGATGGAGACCATCCTGGCTAATACGGTGAACCCCGTATCTACTAAAAATACAAAAAAATTAGCTGAGCTTAGTGTTGGGCGCCTGTAGAGGCTGAGGCAGGAGAATGGCGTGAACCTGGGAGGTGGAGCTTGCAGTGAGCTGAGATCTGGCCACTGCACTCCAGCCTGGGCGACAGAGCGAGACTCCATCTCAAAAAAAAAAAAAAAAAACCTGAACAAAGTAGCCTAAGCCCTCCAGTTACCTGAGGTTTACTGAAGTATTGAAAATACTTAAACATAAAATTTCATTCAATAGCCATAGTGTATCTAATTAACAGCACTGTGCTACGAGCAAGATGACTGAACATCAAAACACTAATTGATATTTGGTTGAATACTTTTAAAATTATCTAAGGACTAGGCTTTGCTGAAGGATGCTACATACAATAATACAAACACTTATGGCTTGATTACAAAATTAGTAAGTATACTATATTAAAAAGATATCCATCTCAACTCGATTCATCATAATGTACCATAATGAAATATCATGGAATAATTATTGCTTTTTTGCTCAAGAATATTTCAACTCAAAAATGTAAATATAATTCAATCAACATTTTTATACATAGTTTTCAAGTTGTAATACTTTCTGGTCCTCTACCAAATTCATAAACTAGCAGAGGCAGAAATTTGAATCAGAACTTCCTATAATGAAATGGATGAAAATATGGCTAAAAATGGAAATAACCACAACTGTGGCTTATTAAGCAATAATAGCAAGAATACTTATTTTGCAAATTGAAAAACCTTAGATATGTGAACTGCATATGTTTCCAGACTTAAGTTATCTTAAACTAAATTCACACTACAGGTGACAACAGTCATTCAAGTGAACTCTCAGTAAAAAGATGAATTTCAATTCTCATCTCATCCTAAACAATGAATCTCTCATTTCTAGTTGTAAGTAAAAGTTAGAAATGAGTCAGCACTCCTTGTGTCATAAAGTATAAGTTGTTTTGTTTTGTTTTGTGTTTTGGAGACGGAATCGCCCAGGCTGGCATGCAGTGGCATGATCTCAGTTCACTGCAATCTCCGCCTCCCGGGTTCAAGTGATTCTCCTGACTCAGCCTCCCAAGTAGCTGGGACTACAGGTGCACGCCACCACACCAGGCTAATTTTTTGTATTTTAGTAGAGACCGGGTTTCACTGTGTTGCCCAGGCTGGTCTCGAACTCCTGAGCTCATGCAATCCACCCACCTTAGCCTCCCAAAGTACTAGGATTATAGGTGTGAGCCACCACGCCTGGCATTAAGTTGTTATTAACATCCATTTTGCTTGAGACTTACTCCAGCTGAAGAATTGTGTTGTTTTGTTCTTGTTTTTGTTTTTGTTACATAACATTCAATCAAAACCTTTTTCTAACTGCTTTACCAGAGACTAAAGATTGGAAAATAGAGTAAGTTTCCCCGCCAAGTGAGGGTAGTCTTTCCAAACTATAAGTTAGCCCTTAGACTAGAAGCATAGAAGATGTTTATTCTGCTGCTGTTCAAATATATCTTTCCAGAAAAGCAGCCTTAGTGAATTCTAACACTATATAATCATTGTTTAAATGATCCTTTTTAATTGAAAACAATTTTTTCACTACCACTCTCCATATTGTTTAATGTGATTTTTAATATAATGTGTGTGGAACTAATTCTTTGTTATTGTTTTAGTTGGAGCCGTTGATTTGATGAATCTATAAATCAATGTATATCAAAGTCATAATAGGACTAAAACACTATAAGAAATATAACTAAATTTCCCGGAACTTAAGATCATTTACAAAAATGTGATTACCACAGAACATGCTATGCATACATTTAAACATTAAAAATCATTTTTGACTAATAAAGTAGGCAATTTCCTGAATACTTGTCCCTCCTAGCAACAATTCCACATTATTTATAACTCTAAGTGTAGACTCTTTTTTAAAAAACATGCAATATCAGCTAGGAGAGTTAAACATCAACCCACTACTTTTATGGCAATTTGGCTTGAATTCATTTAGATTAATTTAATCACTTACCTAGCAAGGTCCTTAGGCAGTGGTCCTCAAATTTTAGAGAGCAAGGAAGCAACCACAGTGCAAATTTAAATGCAGAATCCTAAGTCTTGGCCGAAAGATAACCTGATTCTGAAGACCCCAAAATAATTACTTTTAATTAGCACCTGGGATACTTTCAAAGGGAATCATGCTAAAAGACTAGCATGATCCCTAGACAAAAGATGAATCATT